GAACCCACCAGACATTTCCCTTTATGTGAATCAGTGCAACTGTCATAGGACTGATGATCTTTACTAGACAATGTATGGGCATTGCTGTGCTGGTGAGTGTTTCCAATTACGGGAATTGCCACTCTGACCACAGCTATCAGAAGATGTTTATTGGCTTGTTGTTTTTTTTAAAAAAACCACACATCTATGGTACACTTTAGTGGCAATGAGTTTCAGTACCTATTATGCAGTATACATAGTGTGTGTAGGTGTCTAACATAACAGTTTTTCTGACACACAGTTCATTTAAGGGTCCGATTGTGTACTTTGTAAGGTGGGGTGTGTGAGCGGGGAGCATAATATGACTCATGACACAGCAGAAGTGTTATTACTGAGGACTTGGGGAGTGTGATAGAGGATGTTGGAAAAATGGTGGCTGCAGAAAAGGGGAAAGATAAAGTAATAGATCTTCATAGAGATATTAGAAATTTACAGTGTCTGATCATCATCCTGGTCAGTTGTTCCATTGTCATTAGTAGTAACACTACAGAGGAGAGATGAGAGAAAATGAGTGAGACCTACACTAGCAAACTCATCATTAGGTGTTTATACCGAGCAGTGGATGTTACGTTGCAAGCCAATGGATCGTAAACAGGGTTGGATAGCTCTCTGTCATTGCTGCTGATAGTCATGAAAACAACAAACACATGAGTACACTATATAGTAGTATTCCTTACCTCTCCTTTGGACTTGGTTTCAACTTCCTGTTTGTTCTAGCAAGAGCTACAATGAGAGCCACTACTAACAGTATCAGACCACAGACTGGCTACTATTAGAACAGCCACAATTGCCAGGAGGGCAGTAGGCGGCTCACAACCACCGTCTTCAACTGCTGTACTACCTCCCATAACTGATGTCTGGTCAGGAGCAGGGGAAGGTGTGGGGGAAGATGGGATGGTGGATGTCATGTCTGTCGAGTTTGACTTGCTTTCTGGAATGGAAAATGGCACTACCCTATGCAAAACATGTGGCACTTTACCTTTACATATGAACTCATTTTCAGCACCTTCACAAACGAGCCATACTCCTTGTGATGTACACATAAGAGTTTTGTATGGGATAGTAACATCACAGATTCAGTATTGCTCGGTCTGACAACTACTGAACCACAGACAGGAGCTGGAGTGGCAGGTCGACGGAGAAGGTTTCTTGTAGGTAGTCTGTCATGACCAGGACATTCATAACGATAGACCAACACTCTGGACACTGTCACACAGGCTTCAACACTTTTAGTGCTAACCAAAATTCCAGTAACTGATGTTTCAGAGTCAAAGAAGAACTGTTTGGTACCACTGGAAACACCACTGGTGTACTGTATACTGTTGTCTGGCATTATACCACCTTCACCATATGAATAGCTTGTGCCATGGTAAGGGTAGTTTGCAAGTAGCAGCTCAAAATTATCATCACATTTCGGTCTGGGACAGTCCATGAAGGAATATGTAATGTTCACAAATATTCTGACTGGGTATGTATTAGGAGATGGGAGAGTCTTATTGATGAACTGAGTTTGTAGCCATTTTCCTTTTCGACCTCCAGAACACACTGAGACTGAACTTTTCCCACAAGTTTCTTCAGAAGTCCACTGTTATGAATGAGCAACAGGGTCAGGGTATTACAGTACAGCTACATAATACCGTCATTCCATGTCCCTCAGTAGTAGTTGCAGTCCAGACTCTGTACCCACCATCCTCTGCTATCAGTGTGTGGTATCTCCAGCTATCCATCAGAACTTTGACATTGACTGGATACTCTGGAACTGGACATCTCCTATCCTCATCTCCTGGAGCTGCCACTGACTGTCCCAGTAGTAGTAGTAGGAGCAGTAAACTAGTCATCAGCAGTCCTGATGTTGCGAACGTCCGTAGGAGAAAGCTAGCACGATAATTTTGCTGCAAATCAATCAGCATTATCGCCTGCTGAACTCAGTACAACGTGCGTACGTGCGCGCGCCACACGTTCTCACTCGCGGAACACAATACGCATGCGCAGTAAAACCGCAATAGCTATAAAGCCATCAACAGCTATCTCCCTTATAGTCAACATTACAATTCAGGAAACTATTGAAAGCGAGGGAGTTGTGATATCACACGCTATTTCAGCACGTAAGAACCCACCAGACATTTCATTTATGTGAATCAGTGCAACTGATGATCTTTACTAAAGTCTGTTCGTTGCCGCCGGAAGTGCACTAGTCAAAACTGTTTACGCAAGGATGCATCATAATTGTAATATCGCGAATATTTGTGGGCGGTGGATGCTATATACGTATGCCGCGCGTGCGTTGAATACGTTCCACGTGTGGTTCCGTGAGTTTTTCCAAACAACAAACCTCTCATTCTTGCCTTTTCCTTGGCCTGGGCTCCCGCAGTAGCGGCGGGAGAGAGGGTTCTTGCTCGCGCTGCGCTATGCGCGCACACTCTACGCGTAAGCGCGCACATTGGGACCCGCGTGATTGCATTTTCGTGGTCAAAGGAACGTCGCGTACTTTGCTTATGTGACATACAGCTAAGTACGTAAGTGGGCGTTGGACGCGCTCGCAAAAGTAGATCTACGGTCAACTACAACCACCTGCGCTTTGAAATTTAGAAATCGGTCGCTGTTTAGCTACATTACGGTACCGGCAAGGTGAACGCGAATAGACTTTAGTATATGGGCATTGCTGTGCTGGTGAGTGTTTCCAATTACGGGAATTGGCACTCTGAGCACAGCTATCATAAGATGTTTATTGGCTTGTTGTTTTTAAAAAAAATCACACATCTATTATAATAGTAGCAATGAGTTTCAGTACCTATTATGCAGTATACAAGTACTATAGTGTGGGTAGGTGTCTAACATAACAGGTTTTCTCATTTAAGGGTCCAATTGTGTATTTTGTAAGGTGGGGTGTGTGAGCAGGGAGCATAATATGACTCATGACACAGCAGAAGTGTTATTACTGAGGACTTGGGGAGTGTGATAGAGGATGTTGGAAAAATGGTGGCTGCAGAATAAGGGGAAAGATAAAGTAATAGATCTTCATAGAGATATTAGAAATTTACAGTGTCTGATCATCATCCTGGTCAGTTGTTCCATCGTCATTAGTAGTAACACTAAAGAGGAGAGATGAGAGAAAATGAGTGAGACCTACACTAGCAAACTCATCATTAGGTGTTTATACCGAGCAGTGGATGTTACGTTGCAAGCCAATGGATCGTAAACAGGGTTGGATAGCTCTCCGTCATTGCTGCTGATAGTCATGAAAACAACAAACACATGAGTACACTATATAGTAGTATTCCTTACCTCTCCTTTGGACTTGGTTTCAACTTCCTGTTTGTTCTAGCAAGAGCTACAATGAGAATCACTACTAACAGTATCAGACCACAGATGGCTACTATTAAAACAGCCACAATGGCCAGGAGGGCAGTAGGCGGCTCACAACCACAGTCTTCAACTGCTGTACTACCTCCCATAACTGATGTCTGGTCAGGAGCAGGGGAAGGTGTGGGGGAGAACGATGGTGATGGTGAGATATCCCTCATGTCTGTCAAGTTTGACTTGCTTTCTGGAATGGAAAATGGCACTATATACACTATGCAAAAAAACTGTGGCACTTTACCTTTACATATGAACTCATTTTCAGCACCTTCACAAACGAGCCATACTCCTTGTGATGTACACATAAGAGTATTGTATGGGATAGTAACATCACAGAATTAGTATGCTCGGTCTGACAATTACTGAACCACAGACAGGAGCTGGAGTGGCAGGTCGATGGAGAAGGTTTGTTGTAGGCAGTCTGTCATGACCAGGACATTCATAATGATAGACCAACACTCTGGACACATTCACACAGGCTCCAACACTTTTTAGTGCAAGCCTAAATCCAATAAATGTCTCAGAATCAAAGAAGAATTGTTTGGTACCACTGGAAGCCCCTGTGGTGTTTCGAACATGATTGTTTGGCATTATACCTTCTCCAGTGTATAGATTATAATTTTTGCCTGTTAGGTTGTAGCTCTAAATCCCCAACACAGTTTTCCATCTGACATTCCATAAAGGAATATGTTATGTTTATGAATATTCTAACTGGATATGCGTTTAATAACTTGGAGATAAAATGAGTTTCCAACTTCATATCATCTGCAACATCGTCACACAGTGAAACCGAATTGCCTCCACATAGTATTAATTGATAATCCTGTTAAAAATTGAAAGATGATAGCTATGCTGACATTAGTTATAGAGCTTACATAAGCGTTTCCATAAGCAATCCAAGATTCAGTACTGCTATCCAGAAGAACGTTTACATTGATCGGATATTCCGGACTACACCTTTCATCCCCGCCTCCTGTGGCTTTTGCCATTGCCTGCAGACCAACGGCCAGCAGTAGTAGTACCACCTATGATAGAGAAACAGGCGGGAAAGCTAGTTAACAGACCCCAGAGGAACTCCACTTGCCTTGAACGTTCGTAAATCCATGGCTGTGTCGAAAATATCTCCGTTCGTACGCATAACGTCGCAGCGGCTAGGCGCTGCGCTAGGGCTCTGGGGCCGGGCGGGGGGCAGTGTGGGGGGACATGCTGTATTACACGCCCTATTTGCGCATGCCCAGCACGAGTCAAACAGTTTTTGGTGTTCGAGAAGGTACATGAGTACAAGTGAAACAGTTTTTATCTTCAGCTCATGACTCCCTGGACACAATAGAAAAACAGGTCATAAGTTTTTGTTCACTCCCTTTCTCTGGCTCACGTGGCAGTGGAGGAGGGAGGGGGAGGTTGGGAGGCGGGGGAGGGGGTGTGGATTGAGAGAGGTTTCCTATAGAGAGAGGCTCTCTGATGACTGAGAAATGAGGTGTGAGGTCCCAGCAGTCGCTCCTGGGAATACTTCCTGTGCATCATGAGACCCTATAGAACAGAGAGGGGGGAGTGAAAGGTGTGTGTGTGTGTGTGTGAAACTTGCTCAAAAGGAGGTCCACCTACCATTTCATACCAGGCCGACACTACTAGTTTCTCCTCTCTTTCCCACGACAACCGGTCTGTCATGTAATCCCTCTGAAAAACAATGCAAGAAAAAAATTATACTAAAACAGTCGCCATAGGCCACGCACCCAGCAAAACAAAAGGCATCACAAATGAACTCACCTCAATTCTTTCAATATGTTTGTCTTTGTCTTTCAACTGACTCTTCAAGCTCTGAATCTAAAAATAAGCACAATATAATATTATATTGTCACAGGGCAATGTACATGTGAGTGCATCAATACTTCTAGACTGTCTTCCGCGGCTCGCGATTTTCCCTCTCCAAATCCTTCGATAATCTTCTTGGCCTTGTTGAGGTACTCTGCACAGTGTGGAGTGACAGACACTGATCCATTGACAGGAGCCTGAGTGGCAGGTCGGCGTTCAAGACCAGTGGACAGTCTGTCATGACCAGGACATTCATAACGATAGACCAACACTCTGGACACTGTCACACAGGCTCCAACACGAAAAGTCCAGCAACTGATGTGTTAGAGTCAAAGAAGAACTATTTGGTACCACTTGAAGTCTCACTAACAATATAATTGTCTGGCATTATACCACCTTCACCATATGAAAGCCTTGTGCCATTGGGATAGAAGTTTGCAAGTATAGCAGCTCAGAATTATCATCACATTTCGGTCGGTCACAGTCCATGAAGGAATATGTAATGTTCACAAATATTCTGACTGGGTATGTATTAGGAGATGGGAGAGTCTTATTGATGAACTGAGTTTGTAGCCATTTTCCTTCTGGACCTCCAGAACACAATGAAACTGAGCCACCTTTGCAGATTCCTTTAGAAGACCACTGTAGGTGCAATAGCAAAACTGCAATAGTGTATTATTAGTAGCCTTTGAGCTAGCTACCGTCATTGGCTCCATTTGGCATCATTCGGCGTCTCTCAGTAGTAGTTGTAGTCCAGGGTCTGCCGCCCGCTGCTATCAGTGTGTGGTATCTCCAGCTATCCATCAGAACTTTGACATTGACTGAATACTCTGGAACTAGACATCTCTCATCCTCATCTCCTGAAGCTGCTGCCACTGACTGTCCCAGTAGTAGTAGTAGTAGGAGCAGTAAACTAGTCATCAGCAGTCCTAATGTTGCGAACGTCCGTACGAGAAACTGAGCTAGCACGATTTTGCTGCAAATCAATCAGCATTATTGCCTGCTGAAACTCTGTAACGCTAGTACAACGTGCGCGCTATGTTTGCAAAAAAACCGCAACAGCTAGTCACCACATATTCTGGAACATTATAGTCAACACTACAATTCAGGAAACTATTGAAAGTGAGGAGTTGTGATATCCCATGCCATTTCAGCACGTAAGAACCCACCAGACATTTCCTTTATGTGAATCAGTGCAACTTTCATAGGACTGATGATCTTTACTAGACAATATATGGGCATTGCTGTGCTGGTGAGTGTTTCCAATTACGGGAATTGCCACTCTGACCACAGCTATCATAAGATGTTTATTGGCTTGTCGTTTCAATTCTGTGGACAAACTACTAGTTTATCTTCTGTGCTTTCTGTACGTGGTGAAACTCTCTTACGACTTCATTTCCTGTTGATTTTGAGTGTGTGATCTCAAGTTTGTGTTTCCGTCAATGGACAGGTATATTCCTGCACATTCTGGCAGACACACTGGGCAGTGTTGGAGTCATCATGGCTGGGACTGACGCATGGAGAACACTGGCTGCTGCCAGGAACATTCTTATACAGGTGGGAGGGGCTTATCTCAACACAATTACTGAAAAGTTTAAGTTTTATTTCCATTGGACTGACACATGTGACCATAGAACTCAACCACATGGACTGATTAATTATCATCACTCATTCATAATTTTTCTTAGTTGATAGTGGTAACCTCGCAGTAATGGGGGCTGGGTTTACACTACAGTCAAATGTTCAATCTCAGTTGACAGCTATATTATAGTCATGTTGCTGCAGTGGCAGAGGAAATGGCCAGGTCCTGTCTCGCCACCGACTCGTAGGCTGGGTTGCAGGCAGTGGGGATGACTGTGGTCTCATACGCCACATTCTCTGCAGTGACTGGATCATCAGTAGTAGCACTGGGATATATTATAACAGTAAAACTTCCGATAAAGGACACTCCAAACATTTAAAAAAATCATCTCAGTGAAGGACACTTTTGTTCCCAAATGTAATTTCATTTTAACCTGACAACCTCCCTTTAAAGGACAAAATGCTTGGTCCCAATGTGTCCATTATTCATGAATAACCAACACATGAGTACACTATATAGTAGTATATATTCCTTACCTCTCCTTTGTCAACTTCCCGTTTGTTCTAGCAAGAGCTACAATGAGAGCCACTACTAACAGTATCAGACCAAAGATGGCTACTATTAAAACAACCACAATGGCCAGGAGGGCAGTAGGCGGCTCACAACCACAGTCTTCAACTGCTGTACTACCTCCCATAACTGATGTCTGGTCAGGAGCAGGGAAGGTGTGGGGGAAGATGGGATGGTGAGATGTCCATGTCTGTCAAGTTTGACTTGCTTTCTGGAATGGAAAATGGCACTACACTATGCAAAACATGTGGCACTTTACCTTTACATATGAACTCATTTTCAGCACCTTCACAAACGAGCCATACTCCTTGTGATGTACACATAAGAGTTTGTATGGGACTAAACATCACAGAATTCAGTATGGCTCGGTCTGACACTACTGAACCACAGACAGGAGCTGGAGTGGCAGGTCGATGGAGAAGGTTTCTTGTAGGTAGTCTGTCATGACCAGGACATTCATAATGATAGACCAACACTCTGGACACATTCACACAGGCATCAACACTTTTTAGTGCAAGCCTAAATCCAATAAATGTCTCAGAATCAAAGAAGAATGTTTGGTACCACTGGAAGCCCCTTTGGTGTTTCGAACATGATTGTTTGGCATTATACCTTCTCCAGTGTATAGATTATAATTTTTGCCGGTAGGTTGTAGCTCTAAATCCCCAACACAGTTTTCCATCTGACATTCCATAAAGGAATATGTTATATTTATGAATATTCTAACTGGATATGCGTTTAATAACTTGGAGATAAAATGAGTTTCCAACTTCATATCATCTGCAACATCGTCACACAGTGAAACCGAATTGCCTCCACATAGTATTAATTGATAATCCTGTTAAAAATTGAAAGATGATAGCTATGCTGACATTAGTTATAGAGCTTACATAAGCGTTTCCATAAGCAATCCAAGTGCAGTACTGCTATCCAGAAGAACGTTTACATTGATCGGATATTCCGGACTACACCTTTCATCCCCGTCTCCTGTGGCTTTTGCATTGCCTGCAGACCAACGGCCAGCAGTAGTAGTACCACCTATGATAGAGAAACAGGCGAGAAAGCTAGTTAACAGACCCCAGAGGAACTCCACTTGCCTTGAACGTTCGTAAATCCATGGCTGTGTCGACTGTATGCCGCAGCGCGAGGCTGGGGGTATATACTGTATTATATAGGGGGGCCGACGCGCGCATGCGCTGCTGTATGTGCGCGACGTACACGCCCTCTTTGCGCATGCCCAGCACGAGTCAAACAGTTTTTGGTGTTCGAAATGATGAGAAGGTACATAAGTATATACCAGTGAAAAGTTTAAACAGTTTTATCTTCAGTTCATGACTCCCTGGACACAAGAGAAAAACAGGTCATAAGTTTTTGTTCACTCCCTTTCTCTGGCTCACGTGGCAGTGGAGGAGGGAGGGGGAGGTTGGGAGGCGGGGGAGGGGGTGTGGATTGAGAGAGGTTTCCTATAGAGAGAGCTCTCTGATGACTGAGAAATGAGGTGTGAGGTCCCAGCAGTCGCTCCTGGGAATACTTCCTGTGCATCATGAGACCCTATAGAACAGAGAGGGGGGGCAAAGGGTGTAAAGGTGTGCGTGTGTGTGTGTGTGTGTGTGTGTGAAACTCGTAAAAAGGAGCTCCACCTACCATTTCATACCAGGCCGACACTACTAGTTTCTCCTCTCGTTCCCACGACAACCGGTCTGTCATGTAATCCCTCTGAAAAATAATGCGAGAAAAAATTATACTAAAACAGTTGCCATAGGCCACGCACCCAGAAAAACAAAAGGCATCACAAATGAACTCACCTCAATTCTTTCAATATGTTTGTCTTTGTCTTTCAACTGACTCTTCAAGCTCTGAATCTAAAAATAACAAGCACATATTGTGCATAAAGCAACATGAGAGTAATATATACTGTATCAATACTTCTAGACTGTCTTCTGCAGCTCGTGATTTTCCCTCTCCAAATCCTTCGATAATCTTCTTGGCCTTGTTGAGGTACTTCTTGTACTTTTCAATCTCTGCATCTTTTATCCTTTCGAACCTCCTCCACGCTACTGTCCTGAGATTCTGGAGGGAGAGGCGGAGGAAAGAGAGGAGGAGAAACAACAACCATAATCAGAGGAGCAAAGGAAAGAGAGAGAAGTACTCTATGTATGTAAGGGAGGAGAGAGAATGAAGAAAGAAAATCAGATGGGTAGAGCAAGGAGAGAGGTAACAAATGATGAGAGGGTGAATATTACTGTTCTCCTGAGCTGCGGCCTCAAGTTGAGATATCTTCTTCTCTTTCTCCTGCAACTGTTTCCGTAGCACTGCCACCATCTGCTCCCCTCCTCCTCCTCCTCCTCTCCCTCTAGACAAAGTTTCTTCTCCTTCCCCACTACCTCGCACACCAGTTCTCACCCCTCCCCCTCCTCCCACCTCCACGGGTGATGGCCCTCCCTCTGCTAGTCTCCGCCTCAGAATCTCATTCTCCTTCTCCAGTCTCACCATCTTTTCCCTCATTTCGGGAGTGAACACTTCGTTCAAAGTGGAGCCCAGGTCAGGGTTGTCCAGTGATCCAGGGGTAGGGGGCTCCATGTTCCAGCCTGCTAGCGAGGGGGCTGAGGGGGGCCAAATCATCCAGGGGGTCACGTGAGGTATGTTTTACCTAATGCGGTGGAGTGCCTGGGATTTGCATCTCTTTCACTCGTTGTAGTTTGCTGAATGAAAAAGGCCGGGTTTAGACGAGTAACACACAGAGAAAAGATTGCTCTAGTGTATGTCTCACTGCAAGTTCGAGTCTGACAGCATCCAGTACTTGGTGGGTGTCCTCAGCATCTTGTGTTACCTACACGGAGACAAATACCACAAATACCACATCACTACAGGAAGATACGGTAATTTTTAACTTTAACTTTAACATTACAAATGCAGTTGGAGGTCAAACCAACAGTAATACCGACGAACTTCTAATCTTTCGATTTGCTGGATCTCCTTTGAAAGATGCCACACAAACCTCTAGGCAGTGAAGTTTTTCCTGAGCCAGTTCGTTCTCCAACTGCTGCTGTCTCTCCTTCTGCATGTCAATCTGACTCCTCAGCCACTCAGTCTCCACTCCGCCAGCTCCTGCAGTCATGTGACGGTCACATGATCATCACATGACCAGAGACCACACCACTGCACCCTCCTCCTCCAGGTCGACAGGTTTTGACCTGCATGTACGACATGTTCTTGCGTTCATTGCCTTCAGCTGTTTCTTCATTTCCTGAACATCCTCTACAAAAATACACAAAATATTCACAAATTTATGAGGTTTTATATTTACCTATCTTTTTCTTGTACTGATGGATCATACTCTCATAGCTTTTCTGCATAAAAAATAACAAAATAGTGAAATTGGAACAGATAATTATGAGGGACCATTATAGCTATACATGGGGGTCATGTGACAATCATGCTAAGAATATGTGACCATCACTTGAGGCCATTTTATCCTCACACATTTAGTACTGTAACCATCACATGAGGTCATGTGACCCTCACACACTGAGTCATGACTATCACAAGCGAGGTCATGGACTCACGACTTGCTCTCCATGTATTTCATCTCGTCGAGGGAGTTCGGCAGGACGGATATCTCCTCATTCTCCACCTGGACTTCTCTGTTCTTCTGGAGAAGGTCGGTGGTCTGGGAGTCCCGTTCCTGGACCCGTGCTTGAGCTCGTCTGTTCTGGAC